CTCCTCTGTCACAGGGTAGGTGTGCACAGTTCCCGTAACCATGTTCAAAACATGAAGCAACTACAAGAGCAGCATGACATGAGAAAGGCTGAAGAAACACTGGTCATGTTTGAGCAGAGATGGCAGGACTGAGAAATTGGTCACCAATAAACTGTTCAAAGCACTTGGTGGGCTCAGGAAGTCACTCTGCAGCTACTTCATAACATTATGCCAAAGTCCTCGTCCTCCATCGAGTGGAGGGGAGGCCATGTGGCAATTAAACAGCTTCAGCTGCAGAATCCTCTACCAGAACATGGAACTAAGCACACACAGAAGCTATTTGCTACTCCCAACAAGCTCAAGGAGTATTTGTCCTCAGAGAAGCAAGAGGAAAGTCCCTTCACTAACTGTCAGGAGACAGCTCCATGAGCTTCTGTGCCACTCCTCCTCCTAGGCCTCTGACTCAAGCACCTTCTCTCATGGGCTACAGGCAACTGCTCTCTGGAAAACTTTTCAGGATAATACAGAGCCATTGCTCACCTTCAAGTTCAAAATGTCATCCAGGGCTTTGAAACACCCATAGGGTCCATATGTAGGATCTGTCCCTCTCTGACGTGGGTGCCACATTAACATGAGCTGCAGCCATTTCTCCAACCTCGCAGACAAAACACTGAACAACCAAGAACAGAAGGGGATCACAAGAAGTAAAAGTGCATTTGCAGTCACTACATGACCTGTTCTCCGCAGGAGGACTGACAAACAACTGCCCCCACCCCGATCCCCCCAACACTCCCCATCACAAGTGCAGTGTTTAGAAGGCAGAAACCAAGACTCCCAACTACACAAGTCTGACAAGTGACACAAGTACTGTCTGTGTCATGCACTCAATTTATCCACAGATCAACAGTGTATAATATAAACCTGGTTCTTATGCAGAAGAATCAGTTTATCCCAGCAGGGCAATTTCCAGTGCACACCTGTTTAGATTGTTTGGGCAGGGTAAGCTGCTGGAAAACTTGACTTCTCCAGATAAGTCTTCTGAAACAACAATATCCAGCTCACTCTTCTGACGCACTTTTGTGTGCCTGAGGAATTCAAGCAAGTACAATGGTGAAACAATCACCTGCCTCTCCCAGCCTGCATGACAGTAGGCTCTTAAAGCTACTCTTGACAGATATAATACAGATGCCACTTTGCTTTCTGTTACCTGCCCTGCAGGAGTCAGACCTTATTCCCAGAGGGCAAGTATCAGGAATGCTGAACTTGCTCAGGTAGGTCAAACTCCTGTGAAGGGAGCCAGTCTCCATAAGGGCAAGGAACACAGGGACGTTGTCCTAAGAATCAAGGGACTGTAAACAGGACAGACACGTGGGATCCCCTCCTGTCACCAGCCCCAGCTCACTCACCACTGCACTGGCTGCCAGTTGGGCAGGAACGGTCGGAAGCCTGTAATGCACTCAAAGGCCAGTGTGCCAAAGCTCCAGTAATCCACTGTCACCGTGTACTTCTGCTGTTCCAGCAGCTCGGGAGCCTGAGACAGTTACACACGTAAGACAAAGCCACCCATCTCTTGGCTCTCTCTGCCCCTTAACAGCTCACTAATGTTCCTACACAAGATTAAAGATGTTATGGAACACGAGCTTCGAGACCCTCCCAGAGTGACCCGCACAGGTCACTGGCCCTCCTGCTCCTGATTTGCAACAGACAGAGCTGGCAGACACTGAAAACACAGTGTCAGCAAAAAAAGGGTCACCTCTGCTCGCTGCAGCACCCCAAATGCACCCCATGCCAGCACAAGTACCTCATCCCAGCCCAAAGCTGGATAACAGTTAATTCTACCCCACTGAAAAGCAGGAGCTGCTCCTCTAGCTGAATTCCTTCCTTACCAAGTACTGCAGAGTCCCAACAAAGGATGTGCACAGGCTACCCTGATCCAGTTCCTTAGCATAACCCAGGTCAATGATTTTGTGTATTAACTGAAACACACAACAGAGAACAAGAACACTAGACTGAAGTCCTGTTAAAAGCACATCATACAGCAGAAAGAAAAGGTTCAGCTCTTCAAAGGTATGCAGGAAAGGTGCCAGGGAGGGGAGGGAAGGAGAAATGGGAGATTCCTAAAACTGCAACATATGTAAAGCTGTCAGGGGCTTGGCACACATTTAGCAGTTATGTCTCCAGCTCTTTCTGATCCTTGGTCCATCACTATGATTCTCTGCTTAATAGCTGAAAGTCAAAATGTCAGGTGTTAACAGGTGCCTAACACAATCTCTCATCTCAGCTGCACACAGAACACTGTTCATCTGACACAGCTGTCACCCTGGGTGGAGTGCTCTGCAGAGGGACCACGTGCACCTCCTCTTACACTTACTTGTGTGTGCAGGTAGAGACACCCAGTTTCTGCTTACCCTCTGCTCTCCTTGCTGCAGCACAATGTTCTCTGGTTTCAAGTCTCTGTGGATGATCCTGTTCTCATGAAGGTACCTGAGAGCAGAAGCTGAGACACAGAAAAAGCCACTTCTAAGAGCATAATTAACAGTACCTAGCAGGAGCTTGGTAAGGATTCAGTTCTACCTACTATAAGCATGGCTTTTGGGTCAAATCTTGTACAATGAAACATGTAAGTGCAAGAGGGAAGTCAGCATCAAACACCTCTGGACACAAGCAGAGTTTTCTCCCTGGGTGTTCCCTCCCACCCTTCTTGTAAACTGTAATAATGCTGGCTAGTTTCAAGTCAGCAGGGACCTCCACAGACTCCCAAAACCTTTGGTAGATGATCAGAAAAGGTCAGACTAAGATGTAGTTATTAAGGTCACTGCTGTAGTTATTAAGGTCACAGCACTAGCTCAGACAGTGGAGGTACTGCAGCCACTCACCAATATCAGACAGCAAGATGAGAATGGCTTCCTCCCGCAAGCCACAGCAATTCTCCAGCTGATTCAGGTACTGCAAGTAAACAACACGGAACGTAGGCTTTCCCTCCTCTACCCTGAGCGAGGCTCACAGTCCCACAAATTCTCAGGGATGCAAGAAGTCTAAGTAACAGCAATCAAATTCTCTAGAGGCACAAAATTCTATGGTCTGTGACCTCCGGTAGCAGCAATTACAGCTTCAGGCCTTGGCCTAATGGCATGGGAGGATAACAGAGTGGGTGAGAGAAGTCAGGGTCATCCCATTCTCATCCTTCTACTTGCTCCACCTTTCTCAGCCATTTCCCCTGCGTCTGGCAGTATCAGCTCAAACCTCAGGTCTGAGCTCTGGCTGTTATCTACAGGCAGATTACAGGAAAGGTTAGAAAAACCTTAGGATTAGAATTATCCTGTGTTATTTTTCCCTCTGACAGACAGAAGTTAATCACTTTGAGGAATCTGTTGATGCCATGACTACGAAGCATCAGGATGTGAAAGCAAAGATTTTACGGGAAAACTTGAACAGAACACCTGGGATGAGATGAGAAGCTGATCCAGCCCTCGGTCACCTTCCCAGGGCCCTCACCTTGCGGAGGTCTCCACCCTGGCAGTACTCCATGGCCAGCAAGGGTAAGTCATTTGGTGCAAGCTTCTGCATCCCTTCAGGGACATCACGGGCAGCCACCACATTGGGATGGTTGAGCCTGAGGAATGAAAATAAGGCAAGCACACGTGATGTGCTGCAACTCCTACACAGTTTCACATGCTCATGGTCATCGCTCCAAGTCCTACATGGTCACCAACCCTTTTAGAAACTGAACTAGTGGGTTCTAAAGGTCTGCAATTCACCCGTCCTTCACGGTCCTAGGCTCGCCCTAACTCACTGCATTTCATGCGCAGACAGCGCGTTCCTCCAGCGCACACGCACGGCAGATCTGCCCGGGAGGTACCGCAACGAGCCCCGCACAGACGGCACCGCGACCCGGGGTGCGGGAGGCGCAGGCCGGGTCCGTGAGCGGAGGAGCGGGCACCGCCCGGAAGGATCCCCGGGGCCTCTCCCGGCACTTCCCTCGGCACCCGCCAGACCCGCCCCCGGGCACGGCGGGACCCCGGCCCCCCTCACCTCTTCATGATCTGTATCTCCAGCGCCCAGCGGTCGCGGTTGCGCGGGCTCAGCTCCTGCCGGCACTGCTTGATGGCCACCTGCTCGCCGGTCTCCTGCGGGACACAGCGCGGGCCGGCTGAGCGCGGGGGCCCCGCGCCGGGGCGCGCCCCGCGGGCCCGACCCGCCGCCTACCTTGTTGTGCCAGCGGACGACGTTGCCGAAGCCGCCGGTGCCGAGGCGCTCCCGCATCTCCCAGGGCCCGCAGGTCGGAGCCTGCAGCGCGGGCGGGCGGCTCATGGCGGGCCCGGCTCCTGCGCGCGCCGCGCTTCCGGCTCCGGCCGGGCGCGCGCCCGCCCGCCCGCGCGGGGCCGCGCGTCGTGAGGGGAGCGGGACTGAGGGCAGCGGGCATCGTGAGGGGAGCGGGACTGAGGGGAGCGGGCATCGTGAGGGGAGCGGGACTGAGGGCAGCGGGCATCGTGAGGGGAGCGGGACTGAGGGNGGGGAGCGGGCATCGTGAGGGGAGCGGGCATCGTGAGGGGAGCGGGCGTCGTGAGGGGAGCGGGCGTCGTGAGGGGAGCGGGACTGAGGGGAGCGGGCATCGTGAGGAGAACGGGCATCGTGAGGGGAGTGGGCATCGTGAGGGGAGCGGGCATCGTGAGGGGAGCGGGACTGAGGGGAGCGGGCATCGTGAGGGGAGCGGGACTGAGGGGAGCGGGCATCGTGAGGGGAGCGGGGCCGAGGGCAGCGGGCATCGTGAGGGGAGCGGGCATCGTGAGGGGAAAACATCGCCAGAACCCGCCGGGCTGGGGCGCGCCGCGTGCCCGCGCTGCCCACCGCGCCCCCCGAGCCGCTCCGGGCGTTCCGGCCGGGCCGGTGCCGCTCCCTCCGGCCGTGAGGGGCTTCAGCCGCCAGCGAGGGAAGGTGCGCTCCGAGACCTGCCGGGCACAGCGGGGCCCCTCGGGGTAAGGCGGCCCGCGGGGTTGTCGCAGTGTCACACTTGGTCACCGACACTGAACAGTGTCATTGCCGAAACCACCCTGAGACACGGTCAGATTAGAGGAAAGCCGGCAGATGGTGCTTCAGAGAGCAGACGCTGCTATCGCCGCCTTTCCCAAAGTGGGTTAAGCAGTACAAATGGCACAGCGCTCTGGAGACAAGTTATAGTTGTCCTAAAGATGTGAAAAGTCAGGAGATAATTTCTGAGCTCTTCCCCCCACGGCCATTAGTTTGTTAGCATCTTTAATCTAGAAGTCCAGTAGCAAATGGGTGCTGTTTTTAAAAAGGAAATAAATTAGCCCCCGTTCACTCAGCAGTGTTCAATCATCTTTTTCTCAGCAGCTGGGAGTCCCTTCTGGAAACAGTGAAATGCAGCTCCCCTTGACTCAGATTTATAGCAGTAATGTTACCACCAGCACTGTGACTCTTGGAGACATACATGTGATAATCTTGGCATAGATTTCCATACAGAGAAAATCTAAACATGCAGAGTAGCCAGTGTTCCATCTTTACCATTATGCAAAATAACCATTGCCATGCTTCCCAAATAAGGACTCCACGCAGTTACTTCCCAAAGACAGAGGTCCCTCATAAGAACACCAGTTCTTATGTCTGTGCTCACACCAAATTCTATAGGAACCTGATTGCTATCGAATCAGTTATGAATAGTTAGGACACATCCATTACTCTGACAGTTGCATCACTGACTGTTTTCATAACCCAGCCCTAAGATCAGCTCTTAAACCGATAACTCAGATTTGTCTGCCACACTTTGATAACTGAGTACCTCATGACCACACCCTGCTGAGTAGATCTTCATTTTCTAGGATGGGCAGTAGCAGTGAACATTTAACCCTCAGGTCCCCAGCGTGCTGTTCTTTGTTTCTGTCTAAAGTTCCTTAGACATTTTGTTCATTTAACTCACGAGCTCCCCTGACTGTTTCTTCTCCCATGGCACTGTTCAGGGCATGCTTTGCTCCACATGCAGGTCAGGACCTCTCTGCCAGACATCTCTACTCGGAGTACAGCAGCTTCCCTGGCGTCCTGCACAGGCTCCCTCCGACCCTCCGGCCACCAGCCTGGACCATCCCCAGATGCTCGGGAAGGGGTGGGATGTGGACAGCACGGCCCGGGGAGTCTCCACCCCCTCGAGTGGAGCTGTAAGTAGGACAGGAGCTGTTCAGAGAAATCAGAGCAGAGACACAGAAAACACAAAACCAGACTGGTCTGGAAAGGAAATAATCAGAATACAGAAGAGAAAAAGCAAAAAGGTAGGTACTACTTTGTACCTGTTTTAAAAAGTGCATTTTCTGTTTTCGACATCAGTGGCAAAGTCATTAACTACTATTAAATATTATTATTTAATAAATCCCACTGTATCACCGTGATAGTTACCTAACTGAGCTATTGGCTTTCAGCTTTTGAAGGGATGCATAATGTGGGTAAAGCTGCTAACTTTCAGTTGTTTCAAGAATGCTGAAGCTTTCTTGAAAGGGCCAACAGCCTCAGGCTCTGACCCATTAAGCAAGGAGGAGTGTCCTGCACAAAGAACATTAGCAAAAGAACTTAAACCAAAGGAAGAGTTATGGACAAATATCTTGATGGTAAGGGGACCCAGAGAACTAGCTGAAAAAGAAGAATTTATCTAATCTCCCTGGGAGGAGATCAGACTGTTCCTCTCACCCCAGGTTCCAAACCAGGATAATGGAGGGACAAAGAGGAGGAGGAGGGTTGGTCATCTTCAGTTCACCCTAATCATGCTTCTCTTTAAATGTGGCCAAAACCACAGGAATACTGAGAATGATTTCCAAAACAAAGCCTGATTTTGAAATATCCGTTTCCTCCAATGCTTTCAAAGATTACAGCATCTTACTTTTTTCTTTTTTTTTTTTTTAACTCTTTCCCCCCAAACCAGAGGTCTGTCTGTTATATTTTTAAGGAGAAATAGCACGAGTCTGCTATGCATCTGCTCAGCTCAGAAAAGGGATGCAAAAGCACTTTCTCCAGAAGGCAGGAAAAGGCAGCAAGGAGCTGCAGTCTGTTGCTTGAACTAAATCAAGGTAGCTGTTGATCAACAGGAAAGCTATTAGCCTTATAGATGCAGAATCAATGCATTTTGGAATGGACATGCTGTGTTAGTGGGAGGGAGGAGAGCCACTTTTAATTTCTGTACCTGTAGATGTGGCAGTTAGGGACATGGTTTAATGGTGGATTTGGCAGTGTTGGTTTTATGGTTGGACTCAATGATCTTTAAGGTCTTTTCCAACCTAAGTGATTCTGTGATTAATGACTTTTTGTTCGACCTTGATAAGTTACATCTCTTTTTTAGGTATTATTCCACATTGGTAAGATAATGCTCACACTCTTGCTGCTCAGAAGGGCTGTTTTTAATAATAAATTAATAGGTAGGATTGTAAGTATTTCTGCTGCTGATTCTTCAGCAAAGAGAGACAAATTTAGGGTATTGTATATCTTTTGTGTCCTACTGTACTAAAAAGTGTCAAATCAAATCAAAATGTCGGAACAGCACATCTCAGTCTTTGACTTATTGCTGTAGTATTTTCGATCAGAGAGGAAGCACAGGCTGAGATCAGAAGGCACACACTGGTTAGGGGAGTCCTGCCAGAAAGCACACTGCAGGTTTCTGCTTGGAGTCCTGTCAAAGTGGTGTTTTTCAAACAGCCATATGGTTTCAGTTTGATGGGGCTTATCATCCAGAACATTCCAAAGGACTGGTCTAAGCTGTACCTTTCCCAAAACTAAAAATAAACATCTGGCAACATCTGCTATCAGTTTTCCAAGCACAGTGGGACAGCAGCCATCAGTGGATGGACAGGCATCCCACATGGAGAGGGGGAAAGGAGCAGGAAACGTGGCAGCACTGTAAGCTGAGACAGCCTGGACAGGGACAGCAGAAATAAGGGGAAGAAAAGATGTGGCATGTGATGCAAACTAACTTTGGGCAGACTCTGAACTGCGTTGTACTGCAGTATAAGCACGTGCTGTGTAAGACTAGAACCCACTTGTACAGCCAACTGTGTGAGATAAACTTGACTGTAACCATAAACTTGAGTAAACATTAAACATGCAGATGCCTTTTAAATAGAGACTTTAAAAGATGTTTCCTACTACCCCTGAAAACTATCTGTAGTTTCCTGCTGGTTTCAGACAGCCAGGACCTCCTCCAAGTATCAATTAGGCCAGCATTGCCACTCTCTTCTCCACAGAAACAATCAAATTAACCCCCCCCCCAAAAACAAACTAACAAACAAAATAAAAATCCCCAAACAACAAAAGACCCACAACAACACCAGAACACTCCAAGATTCAAATTTTACTGGTGTTACCTTGTTTTGGGGGCTAACGAAAATCCCTGAGAGATGCTCTGAATTACAAGAATTTCATCACCAAGGTCTGATCTAAAGACAAGTCATGGAGTAACTAAAGTTCTCAGAAGATGTTCTTGTGAATCTTTTCCTTTGTTCAGAGTGACTTGCAACTTAAGTCTCCTTTTTTACTGCCTAATGATGAGAAATCACAGCCTAAACTGTCCTGCTGTACTCCTGATCTGCTTCAGAAACTGAACTGTTTGTTCCTTTTGCTCTTTCTTTGAACAAATCTTAAACAAACAAACAAACACAATGACAAAACCACCAAAAACCCACAAACACACTTTATTAGCCGTGAATCACAATTTCTGACTCATCTGTCCTACACCAATTTCACCAGCTGTTATCCAGCTGCCTTCTCTGGCTTTGCATAAACAGAGTCTGAGCTCCTAATTTCTGGAAGTAGTAGTTTTCTCAAATAATTGGGTCAGCTTTCTACATATAATGTAGATGATAAAAAGGTGATAGTGTGGGAGACAGTGCCTGAATACTGTTTCAAATATTTGGAACTGCAGGGAAATCTTAGAGACTGGGAATTAAATTGCACCTTCTTGCCTGCTACTCTACCTCACTCCCACCTCTTGGTTTGTATAGGATTTTTGTGCCTCTGGAAGACCAGGACAGCTAGACCAGACAGCTGAGAAGTGAAGGGTTGAAAGTGTGTACAAAGAATTTTCATAATTGAAAACCTTTATTTAAGGTTATGACCTTGAACTCCATTCACTCTGTAAAACCCCTTTGTTCAACATCTTATTTTTTGTCTCTGTAGATAACTTGAGATTTGGAGCTGATGTAGAAAACACTCAGAATGGAAGGCAAACTCCCATGTCTCCTCCTGCTGGTGGGAGCAGTCGTGACTACCCAGTGCCAGGTGAGATTTTTGTGCCTCTGGAACGGCTTCCCTGGTTCACATGACCTCAAGAAGAAGACTGACTTCCTGTAGACACTTGTTCTCTCAGTTATTTTAAGAGAGCAGTTACTCACAGAATTAACCTTCTTTGCTGGCAGGGCTTACTCACACGTTTCAGACGGGGAGCCAGACCCAGAGGTAAGCCAGGAAACTACAACCCTGTGACCTGGAGTGTGAGGAACACGGGAGGTGGAAGCAAATGATGCTGCAGGAGTGGAGCCTGAAAGCTGTTTGTCGTGGTTATCTGAATGAGAGATTCAGAAGGCAAAATACCAGACCATTAGTACCATCCACAACTCAGGGAAGTTTTCCTCTCCCGCTGCTCTTCTTCAAAGAAAACAAGGCTGGTCAGTAGTGGAATAGTAACTCCAGCAACACAGCAGTGAGAGAGAGGGATGGGACAGGGTGGTCTGAGAAGGGAAAGGGCAGCCCGTTAGATGGGTGCTCCCTTCACAGATACTTTTCTCCTGGGAGTGGAAGGGAGTCCTCTTGCTCAGCCAGGTCTTTTCCCCAAATCTCTAAAGAGGATTTCCTTTCTCCGATTGCAGCCGTTTGCAAGGACAGTTCCTCTGGAGAAGTGTTCCAGCATGGGTGGACCTGGCTGAGGCTGGCAGGGAGCAGGATAGAATACTGTAGGTGTGACAGCGGGCAGAGGCGCTGCCACACGGTGCCTGTCAGAGGTGAGTATGACAAAGGAAAAGAGGAAGGAAATGGTGAGGGATGAGAGATTGTCTATCTAACCACCTGAAAGAACAACTCCACAGTCAGGGCCGGAGTTATTGCACAGGAAATTTGGCTTGAAGTAGGATAGAAATGAAAATACCAATATCTGCTGACTCAGGCAGGACTGAGTGGGAGTGGGCAAGGGGCTGGGGGAGTCTCCTGACAGCATATGTGGAGAGAATGGAACAAAGGAAGAATGTCAGCACTACACAGAAAGGCTGTAAGCACGTGGCAGTACCAGGTAGGTAGGGAAAGACAGAACAGGCTAAAGGAGACTGACAGGAAAGGAAAAATGTGTATACATTGCCAGCTTCTTGCTTCTGTGAAACCTAACAGTATTTCCTGGCTTTTGCTTATTCCACAGCCTGCACTAGAAATAAATGCTACAATGGGGGCCAATGTTCACAGGCATATTATTCCCCACAGCTCTTCATCTGCCAGTGCCACCAGGGTTTCTCAGGGAAGCAGTGTGAAATAGGTGAGTACAGCACATCAGTTCCTGTGAACAGTGATTGGGTTGAGCTGTGCAGTACAGAAGGATGAGGTACCCAGAAGCTCCTGCTGTATTCTAGGCTCTCTATTAAGTTGCCATTTTTATTCTAAAACTAATACTACAAAGAACTTTTAAGGACACCTGGGCTGTTCTCAGCATCTCTTAATAAAACTCTAAATTTTGTAGCTGAAGACACCTTTGTTTACACTTACAGTCTGCCTGACAAGGCATTTTCACTGACCCACTAGACAAGACATCTGAGAGCCAAGTTTAAACAGAACAGAGACTGGGGAAGCAGGGTTGGGATGTTGTCCTTCCAGTAACATTTTGTTCCCTTTTGTTCAGATACTGAAGTTAAATGCTACAGAGATGCTGGAGTGACATACAGGGGTACATGGAGTGTGACAGAGAGTGGATCTGAATGTTTAAATTGGAATAGCAAAGACTTGATGGACTGGACATACCATGGCCAAAGAGCAGATGCAGCTGAGCTGGGATTAGGCAATCACAACTACTGCAGGTGAGGGGCTGATGGCACACAGGTGAGAGGAATCAGAGCTTGGAGCAAAGGAACAGCTGTTTGCTGGAGTCTGATACCAGGCAGGTACAGATATGGCCCAGCACACGAGCAGCAGTTGCAACTTCTGGAGGCATATCTGAACTTCAGGTCTATCTAGACTGAATGCTTATGACAGGCTAAAAGATGCAGATATCTCTCATCCCACAGTCTTTCCCTTGTCCCTTCTCAGTGCCTAAAACTCCATTTGTAATCCAGTTTCCCACAGTTCCAGATCCCAGTCAAAACTGCAAAAATATTGTGCTTTGTGCACATGGAACTGAACTGCACAAACATGCTGTCCACCCCTGCTAGCCACTGGCCATCTCATCTTCACCTCCACGTACTCCACAGTTAAAACAGGAATCCAGACACTTCTGGTGGGTCAGTCCCTGTCTTCGCTGCAGAGCAGGATGAAGCTACCAAACGAGATGGCAGACGTGGGACTACTGACAGCAGCTTTGTAACGATGCATAATATCATAACTCTTTCAGAAACCCAGATGAGGACTCCAAACCTTGGTGCTATATCTATAAAGGGGGAAGGTACACCTGGGAACACTGCAGTGTGCCCTCCTGTTCAAAAGGTACGTGCAGGGGGACAGGGAAGGGACTTTGGAGTTTCTGTTATTCACTGCAGGTGTAAGGGTGTGCTGTAGACTCGTGCTGTTTCTGTAGCCTGAAAAGTTGGGACTCTCATGTTAAATTATATGTGAGCTTTTAATGTGTATGACACCAAGGGACTGAGATGTGTCTGGTTAATAGAGAGATGCCTTGACAGAAATCACACTTAGGAACAACTGATGGGTTCCATCCATGGGTTAATGTGCAGCTTTCTTGTTGCAGTTTCAAGCACTAGCTGCAGCTCTGGGAGAGGCACAGATTACCGAGGCAGCCACAGTGTTACCAGTTCTGGAGCTACCTGTCTGAAGTGGAATTCTGGGATCCTTTTCAACAAGCGATTTACTGCTTGGAGAAGAGACGCTTCCCAGCTGGGCCTTGGGAGTCACAATTTCTGCAGGTATGTATGGGGTGTAGAAAGCACAGGAAAGACATTCCTGCTGGGAATGAAGCTCACTTGCAATAGTAATTTTGTTCTGCCTGACCTATCTCTGCTTCTCTGACATCAGACCCCATAAATGCAAATTCCATGTGCCCTCAGGGCTCTCTAGAAAAATCAAAAAGAATACACTGGGGTTGGGTTGCAGTCTGCCACCTTTAGGTCTCCACAACCCCCCTGCAGATCTGATAATACAAAGAGCTCTTCTCTTTCCTGTGCTGCAGGAATCCTGACAATGACAGCAAGCCCTGGTGCCATGTCCTGAAAGGAAGTCAGCTCACATGGGAGTACTGCAATGTGCCTACTTGCTGTAAGGATACTAGCACTGCTGATTCTTCTCTGTCTTTGAGGCACTACAGTCCTGCATGCCATCTGTATTAAACTCAAGCCTCTTACAGTAAAATAAGAGCTGGAGGAAAAAAAAAAAAAAAGCTTTTTGGAGTAGAAAGAGATTCTGTAGCTCCACTCTCACAGCAGTGCCTTTCTCTCTGCCAGAAGGGAAGACTGCAGAAATGGAGGACAGGAAAGGCAGGGTTTCCTTACTGTATTTTTCAAATCCGAATACAAGTTTCCTAGGAAACAGGAGTGAGTCAGATACTAAACGGTTCACAGCAGGCTGCCTCAACACGCACCGGTGACTAACAGGCTCTTAACCCAACCTCAGAGCCCGAGTGCCGGCACAAACAGCCTGTTTTGGGTCTGTCGTCCCCAGCCAGCTGTGGCGTGCGGCAGCGCCGGGCCCGGCAGTTCCGCGTCCGAGGGGGCTCCTCCGCCGACATCGCGGCTCACCCCTGGCAGGCTGCCATCCTCGTCACCTACCGCCGGCTGCCCGGGGAGCACTTCCTCTGCGGGGGCACCCTCATCAGCTCCTGCTGGGTGCTCTCGGCTGCTCACTGCTTTGAGGAACGGTAAGCTGAGGATTCAGCGCTGTCTGGGGGGAAAAAATAAAATCTGGGAAATGGAAGCGTCCAGTGCGGCCTTGGGAAAAACCCTCTTTATCCCAGTGAGCCAGTCTGCACTAGAGATTATAGTTAATCGTGCTGAGCATTACAGAGAGGCATTTATTGTGCAAACCAGCAGCATGGCACTAAGGTACCACAGCAGAATATCAAATAGCAGAAGAACAAAGTTGTCAATACACATGCAGAGCCATCTGAAACTTGAGAACAGCAAGGGGCTGGCAGAGGAGCTTTGCCATGATGGCTGTAAGCAAATAGCACAAAAATGAAGCCAAATAGGTCACTTGAGGTCAAGCTGCCTGGGTAACAGAGTAGTAATAGTGCTAAAATGAGAAAAGCAGAAGTTCCAACAACACATCTCGAAGGGAAGGGTCCCCTCTAGTTAACACAAGAACAGAGACTCTCTTGTTCTCCAGCTTTAGTACAAATCAGCTGAAGATTGTGCTGGGTAGGACTTCCCGAGCCACTCCCGAGGAAAATGAACAAAAGTTTCGAGTGAAGAACTACATTGTCCATCCGAGATTTGACTCAGAAAATTTCAACAATGATATTGGTAAGAACTTTTCTGACCTTGTGGCTGGAAAGCTCACGGTTGGCTCAAGTTTAATAGCGGTTAATGAAGTGGGGATTGTTTTCTCCCTCCTCAGCTCTGCTGCAGCTGAGCTCAGATGCAGGAACCTGTGCTGTTGAGACAGACACTGTGAGAGCTGCCTGCCTCCCCACACCAGGGCTGCAGCTGCCTGACTGGACTGAGTGTGAGATCTCTGGCTATGGCAAAGATGACGAATGTAAGTAGAAGATAATGTCTACATGCAAGTAGAAAATAGTCTGTCCAAAGCTTGAGTCCCCTGCCATCAAAGAATTCAAGCCTTTAGCCTTACTAAATGTCTAATGTATTATACTGGCTTATATGAACACCACAAAATGTATGTATAAGTAGGAGTCACTCAAAAGGAAGTTTTGCTGTCAGTTATTTCATTCATCTGAGTTCTGTCAGCTGTATGGGCCAGTAGAGTCTTCCTTGATACTCTCTACAATACAAACCCAAAAACCTGGTACAATGGATAGGATAGGAAAGACAGCAGATTTGCAGTCACAGCTGCCACATTTCTGCTGTACTCAGTACATTTAGATATTGTAGTTTGGACAGAAATCCCTTCCTGTCAAGATTTGGTGTACCATACAGTTACAGATTTTTAGAGTGCTTTTAAAGCTTGTCCTCAGCATTGTTTACAGGGAGTACAGGATAAACTCTTTGAGAGGGCAGGATGCTGCAACTGTAACTCAAAACTAGACTGAATAACAACAATCTTGCCAACTTTCAATTTTGTGCAATTGCAGCTGCACATAAACCCAATATCCAAACCAACCAACCACCCAAATCTCTTCCATTCCAACCTAAGTGTAAATTCCTATCCAGTTACTCAGTATTGTGTATGACAAGGCATCAGATTTTTGTTAGTGCAAGTCTAATATTAAAAAGTTAGGACCCTGTTTCATACAGTTAAGGCATTTTCATAGGCACTTCCTGTGACTTCATTTCGATTGATGTAACTGTGCAAGGATGACTTACCCACCCAGCAGCCTTTAATTTGGAGCCTAGAAAAACCTCTTTAACTTGCTAAAGCTCGCTGAAGAAACAATATTCTCCCTCAGTCAGATTTAAGCTGTTCTCACTGGCGAAGTGGAACACCCAAGATATAAAAAAAGACCCTTTGGCAAGGAAATATTTGTTTAGCCACTGAGCTACTTCTGTTTACGCTCCTCTGAGCTGCAGAAACTGAGCTGCAATGTTTTTAAAACCCACGTGTGCATACACAGAGGTATGTAAGTATCCTGTTGTTTCCCTGCCAGTCTCTCCATTCTACTCGGAGCAGCTGAAGGAGGGCCACGTCCGGCTGTTCCCGGCCAGCCAGTGCACGGCACAGCACCTGGACAACCGCACGGTCACCGACAACATGTTGTGTGCAGGAGACACCAGGAACCTTGATGATGCCTGCAAGGTAAACCCGGTTCTGTTCCTCTTCTCCTTCCCTTGCCCCTTTCTTTCCTCTGCCTCTGGTAGTCTGAGCCATGCAAACAAAAAGCTTCAGAAAATAGTTTAAAGGAGTTGTGCATCTGCCTGTGTGGCAGTTCCAGTAGACTTTTGTTGAACAGAACAGAACTGCTGGCTCCTCTTTCTTTTTCCTTCCCTTGCCCCTTGTAGATGGGAAGGCAGGGCACACTTAGCCAATCAAACCAGAGCAACACAGGCTGAAAATCCCAAATACAGGAAATTCCACAAAACTGAACAGGAAAATCCACCCCAGCATTTCCTAATATTTTCTGTTATGTGAGCATGCAAAACACTCAGCAGGAGGTTCTGGAGGAGGAAGAGGTGCCTCTCTACTTAAAAGTAGAGAAAAGAAAAATAAAGGCTGAAAGATGGTGGAGAAGGAGCAGCTATGACATGAGGAAAAAGGAAGGGATGCATTCACTCCACATCCTTTCTGCTTGAACAGCTCTTTAATAATTTTGCTTTACTGTTACAAACAGCCTTCCTCTTTTTCTTCTTATCAGCATCTCACCTACATTTCATAAATGAGCACCATACAAAGTTAGACACTTCAGTGTTACATCTCTTTTGTGTCTCTCCCCACGAGGAGCATTGAGGGATCTGGAACACGGGAGTGATTTCTGTAAAAGTGCCGTTCCTGAGAGCTCTTGATTTGTGAGCACACTGCACAGGGCCTCTCTGCAAACACTGGTGCACCTCCAAAGACAGTGGGAGCAAAAAACCAACACAAAACCAAACAAACAGAAAAGGAAATTGTTACTAATCTGCTGCTTCTCTGTAGGGCGACTCAGGAGGGCCCCTGGTGTGCGCGAAGGATGAGCGGATGGTTGTGGTTGGGATCATCAGCTGGGGAATTGGCTGTGGCCGCAGGGACGTGCCTGGTGTTTACACAAATGTGAATCGTTACCTGGGCTGGATTCAGGACACCACGAAACCCTGAGAAAGAAACGTGAACTCTTTGCAGTCTTGTGGCCATGCCCTCACAACTTCCTTCTGGTGCCTTGAGGACTTCAAGGGCTTCCTGTTTGTCCACAGGCTCGTGACTTTCAGTACAACGGGAAGACAAACTGCAGTGTGTGAGAAGGGCACGTTCCCAAATTACCCTCCTGTCCTTATTACAGGTTATCAGAAACTCATCCTCCTTTCCCCCCAACATCCCCAAGCTTTCCACTCGCATCAAATCACATGAGTACAATTTAAAATTAGTTTTGGGCCAAAAGAATAAGCCAAGAGAGAACATCATGCATCCCTGAAGCAGATATGTTGTTTTGGAAATGGGTGTAAACTGAAGGCAAAGAGGACAGATCTAATTTCCTGAAAACTTCATTTCCCTCCTTACTTGGCTGTAAATTTGGAAGACATTCCAGTCAGACTTAAGCTCTGTCCTTATAACATTTGACTTGGGTAATTTAAGCTGGTTTCAGCTTGACTCCAATAGAAAGAACAAAGCTGTAGGCATGAGCTGCTTATTTCCAGATCAGTATACTACTTGCTTTTTCAGTTTGGAACTGATTAATTAACCAAGTCTGAGCTTAAACTCTGAGCAAATCCAGGGTGGCATGCTTGTTAGGACATTCTGTTCTCCCACTTGCTTTTCCTCCTGGTAAAGGAAAAGGTAAAAATATTAACATCAGCCTGATCTGCCACAGAATCAGTGCATACTTTTTGACTATTAAATTTCTGTGCATTATCATCTGATATGAAAGCAAAAGCTCTCTTTTCAGTGCAGTGGGGCAGAACAAAGGACAAGTGTAATGGCAGCAGTTTTAAGTGCCTGCTAGATTTATATCCACAAGTAAAAGGCCAAATCACATGTCACAAGGCTGCCTTTGTCCTTTAACAGCAGCCAGGGCAGGTACAACCAATCCCCATGAACCAGACCCTCAGTAATCAGCTTTACTGCCCTGCACTGCAGCTGCCATGTGACACTGAGTGGCATCTGTGCACACCCGAGGAGTGAAGCCTTTGAAAGCTTCTCCTTTGTCCAGTTGCTTTATAAAGAGAAAGCAGGTGTAACTACTGTTTTACAAAAGGAAAACGTTATCCTGAGGGAACAAAAGGAGTTTTAGCTTTAGTACCAATTGCAGCCAGAACACCAGTCTGTTGTACTTGGGAAACTCAAAACATTGTAACTCCAAATGTTTACTGAGAACAGACCAGCACAGCACCCAGTCAAATACAGAACCCTGCTATGTAAGTACAGAGACATGGTGAGGATGGTAAAAGGGGGTTGTAAATGGCAACTTTACAAACGGTCTGTGATCTTCCAGCTACCAGCTTAGAAAATGCCCTCAGAGAGATGATCTCTAATGCCCTCAGAGCAATGGTGGTGTAAGTCCAGTCAGTTCAACAACAGTGGACGGGGAAAAACCCCCCCAAGATGTTTTTTAATGAAGAGTCACAGTTCAGGGGTTTGGTGTAAATTTTCTTTTTATTGTTGATATTTTCATTTTATTAAATATTAACGTTGAGAAAAATACAAATTAAATTTCCATTCATCTCCCCTACACCCATTTCCAAGTGCTCTTGTGCCTCACTATCCTGGCATTCCCAAGCCTGCCAAATACCTGCAGCCTGTAAAACAGCCAAAACCATTCCACTGAGTAACACAAGTAAGTGTCCTCAGGAACACTTTTGTTCTGCCATTCAAACAGTCTATTAAATACAATATGTGAACTCAATGTGACCTAACAGCCACCAATAAAATGTTTCCATCTTTACAACATCAACTTTTCCACTTCTTATCCTGCTTTTATCCCTGCTTGTCCTCTTCCAGGACACAGCAGCACCATCTTTAGACAAGGTCTAAGAATAGCCACTGCCATCTGCTTGCTTGCTTCCCTCTGCCTCTGCAGTTGCTATTGTCATATTCAAGGTCTTTCAGAACCCAGGTCAGCATCAGCATTTATGGTGACTGAGGTACAGCTACACCTCATGATCCCTCCCCAAAAGTCCTTCTATCAACCAGCTCATGTCATTAATGTTGTTCCCCTGTTCCCCCTTCTGCCCTGTTTCACCTTTCATCCCACAGGACCCTGCAGCCATCTCAGACTGATACAGAAAGCCTGGCTCAAGGGCCAGATGCCTTTATGAACATAACAAACCTTGAGTAACATGAATCACTTCAGCAGGGCAGAAAAGATCCTTTAAAAAACAAAGCTACAAAGCCAGAGGACAGGATCAGTACTTGAGCAGGAGGTGATGAGGTATTTCATTGTCTTTATAATCAAAGCACTACCCTGAGCCTGCTACCCAGTAAACAAAAATGGTTCAGCTGCACTCCTAAAGACATTTTCACTGAGGTTCCAGGAAATGCTCAGCACTCCTTTTGGGAAACACTAAGAAAAATTACCAAGGAAGTAATGAATTTTAGCTTGTCAGACAGTGACTTAGTCCCTGGCTTACAATCCCAACTGCATAAAGACATTTATCTCCCTCAGGCACCCACTATCCACAGTCCAATTGGCATAGTTTACCTTCCTCCTCAAATACCAACCATATTTCTTGTAAAGCCTGCACAAACCACACTGAAATGACACAGATGACATGTAAAAATTAATTTTATTGATGCCCTCGTTGAAGGTTTTATTTGCACTGAACATGCTCAGCAGTAATGCCACCTCAGCAGATGCCACCTGCTCTGGCATTCCTCTGGAGCCCTGGAACCTGCAGCTCCACAAGCAAGATGCCACTCACCCACTCAGGTCTCCACCACACCCCCCCCATGGATGCCACCCTTCCTTTAGGGGCTGACCATGGACTCCACAGCCACACGTGTGTGGTCACAGCACAGCAGCTCAGGGACGAGTTCTGCTCCCACAGGGAAAACACCCTGGCACGTGGTGGCCAAGGAGCCTGTTCCAGACACCACCACCAGTGCAGGTGCCTCTCATCTCCTGTTTCTGCTGTACACAGGGAGGTACCACAGGCTGGGGTGGGCACATGGAGCAACAGCTCTTGCACAGGAGATGGTCCCAGTGGGCAACCCTTGAATCCACAGCACCTGACTGGGACAGGAACTGGAATGAGGTAGGACAGGCAGGAACACTAAGAAAGTACCAGGTCACAATTATGTCAAAGAAGGACACCAGTGAGCAGGAGAACGGCCTTCATTTGCAATAGGCAAGCAGAGGCAGACAGAGGTTCCAACAAGTTATAGGACAGTGATTATCTTCATTTACTCACAGCTGCAATTTCCATCAGTGCTGTGTCCTCACAAAAATTCCCCTCCCTGTCTTGTCTGATTCCCCAAGGCAGCTGGGAGAATTCCTGCCTTCAAATACTGATAAATAACCAGAGAAGCAGAATGACACTGAGATGCCACCACACCCCAGTTACAAGATTTTAATGCATTTCAAGTCTGTGTTCAGAGATTTAAGATACTTAACGACCAAGATGGCTTATGAAGTATCTACAAGAAGCATCCACTTCTTCCATTCCTCCCTCTGTGGCACCATCCCCAATCTCAGGCTTCTCAACCAGCTATCCTGGGTGGAACAATCTACCCTTCCACTTTCTCCAGCCCCTCTGAGGCAGAGAGGCAAGATGATTTCCCTGCTGCCAAGAACTATACAGCTCTGCATCCTAACACACAGTGATGGAGAAGGGCAGGTGCTGATCCTCACACTGGAGTTGAAGTTTGTGGAAATTCAACTTTGGATCATCTACAAAGGGATAAAAGCCAACCAAAATACAAGGAAGAGGAGATACAAAAGGCAATAAATACCTGGAATTTCCTCTAAGACAGCAAAATGAGGGTGATACAAGCTTAAACAGCTGACTCAGTAATCCCAAGGGACCTGAACACTTCTCCCATCCGCTATTATTCCAAAGACTTCCAAGAGATGAGGTTGTTTCAGGTCAGCCTTACTTTCTCCTGCTTTCCAGCAGTCTGAGCACTTGCTTTCCTGCTCATGCTACTACAGGCAAGGGAGCAACCCTAAACAGATGGATGGGGAAAGAGGCTGCATCCAACAGCCAGGGACAGGGGAAAAGGAGAAGTGCTCTTCCTCACTGCCAGGATCCTCTAGGTTCGGACTTGGAACTTGCCAGCCTTAGTCATGTATTTGATCCCCTTGAATGGCTTGTACTTCTCCCCATACATGTCCAAGCGATTCACCTTCAGTCCTAAGGGCAAACAAACACAGCATGAGACTGGTGCTGCCACAAACAAAGCAGACAGGCCTTCAAGAGAGAGGGACAGAAAGCACAGGGGAAGTTTTAGCAAGCAGTAAACAGAACAGAGAAAAGCTGACAACTGCCTAATGTCAGAATCGTTCTTTACAAACACATCCAGACCCTAAAATTCTTTGTAGCTCTGTAAGCAGCAAATGTAAGGAAATGTAGGTGAATTGCTTCACAGAGCACCAGAGAGAACAAATCCATGTATCTCTAGTCAAAGCAGACAATTTTTTGCTTGTTTCAGGTAGAATGTACTGTAGAAGGCCTGCAAAGCTACTTCAGCTACCTGCAGAATGGGCACTGGCACAGCAGAGAACATTCCCCTCCTTCACCTGACAGTCACTTACCAGATATAGCCAGCTGCTGAATTTTAAACTGCAGGTTAATGGTGGGGTTTTCATCTGGTTTCGATGTCCCAGCCTGCAGGCTCACACTGCCCTTCAGGCTTGGCAGCTTCTGGGGGTTTATTTTCCCCACATCCCATGAAAGTAACTGAAAGGAACAGAAAATTCAGCAGTGAAACAGAAATGCTGTAACACCCTCTAAAGAAGAGTCCCCTTCCAGTATCTAATTTCTACCTTTGTTCTCACCTTTGTAACTGGATCAAAGACATGTGTTCCCTGAGAGGGTGTAAGGGTCATATTTAACACACTTTTTGGCATCTGGCTGGTGACCATCACTCCCTCCACAGTCTTGCCCATGGTCTGCTTGGGCCCCACGGTGATCTCGAAGCGCCCCAGGGAGCTGCTGTCCCGGAAACTGATGTTGTGCTTCACGTAGACGGGAATTGCCACGAGACTGGAACAGAGACAGAAAGTTCTTGTCCATCTCTTGCCTTTGTATTTGCTTTTCCTGATGCACTGAGAACATTGGGAACCAACCTCCTTAACAGAGAAGGAAATCCTACACCCGTTTGCTTGGTCTAAGGGCAAAGTTGGAACCCCATTCTCAAGTCTTAATTACAATTCTTTTCACCTTGTTTGATTCTAAAAGTTTTTTATAAGCACAGGAAATCAACAGCTTGATTACTCCCCACTGCCTAACTCTTTCCCTCTCTAGTTTGTTTGTCTGCTACTAGTCTTTGAAAAATGCTGGCTGACCAAAAAGAAATTACAGAATCACTGCTCCAAACAAGGAGAAAACATGTTTTATAAAAGGAAAAATGCAAGTTATCGTGCCCCTCTACTTCATTTGGCACAACACACCACCTGATCTTTAAAAGTTCCCTTTTTTTTTATCCTCTCCTGGGCCAGAAAGATCCAAATTTCATAACTCACAGCACTACATTCATCACCTACTTCTGAGCACTGACGTGGT